GACCAGAAAATGCCAAGTAATTTGCAGAATAAAGCAATGAAAACTGACTTGCCTCTGATTCAACTTTCAGAAATTTCTGAACATCTCATGTCGTATAAATATATACTATGTCGAAAACAACTTTCAGAAATTTCTGAACATCTCGTATCGCAATATATATGTATAACAATCAAATTTCAAATCGCGCTGAAACTTCGCCAGAAGACTGAACAAAGTAAAAGCAACTCCTGCAGCAAGTTTTAGGACAAATTGTTGAGTGAAACATTTTATTTTCGTAACTTTATCATAACTCCCATACATTCCCTTATACTCCATACACAGGAACCTTGTTTGGGCTGCCTGCGGTTCAGTGCATATCATTTCTGGCCCTCGGGCGCGGGGTCCCTGTGTGGGACCTAGCAAAAATTAAAGCCCGCTGGCTGTTTGTACAGTGGATTCGTCTTTTTAAATGCATCACAGAAAAGAAAACCTTAGTAAGTTTTTTCATCTTTTCACGGTGTATAATTTACCTTTTTATCTTTACTGTTTCATTAGAAACACCGACGCAGCTCACACTAGTTTTTAGCTAGTTATCTCTTCATCCTAAGTGTGCAAAAATAACTCAGCAAATTCTTCTGGGCATTCATATCTGAGGTACGTTTATTGTACATCTTCTCACTCAATCAGAACTTTTAGCTTCGCGCGCGCGTTCCTAGTAGAAGGTTCTTCCTGGGGGAAAAAGTCATCCAGGTTGAACTTCTTGTTAAGATCATTGCCTTATCTTGGATGATCTGGAAAGATCTAGCAAGATCTTGCCTTGAACACTTTCTAAGATCTTGAATATACGAGACCTAGTCCAACCTTCCCATTCATTTTGGAAGGGGGTTTAAAATGACCCAAACTCTCCCAAAAATCGTCAAACATTATTAATAGACAAACAAACACGCCATGGAAGAAAGGTAAATTTTATTGAAGTATTTCCATTGAATTATGGTCTTTGAAAAATCTCCTTAACATTGCCTTATAATATGTGTCACACATAGCTTGGGCTAGCCTAAACTTAGTCTCCCTCGCATCCGTTTTTAGTGTCGGTTGTCATGCAACGTGATGACCGACACTAAAAAGGATGCGAGGGAGACTAGGGCTAACTGTGGATTCAACCGGATTTTCCAAAAACTGTCTACATGATGTCTTGTTTATTTGCACCTTTTTTGTCACACTGGTAGGCCCTAAAAGGCTAAACCTCGTCGGGTTTATCCCAAACCGTGTACAGAGACAAAGAAGAGCAGCAAGAACACACATGAAAATTGGTAAGCTAATGACAAAAATTACTACCAAAACATGTAGAGATGAATTTGACTCGTTGCGAAACACATGTTTTACTTCACATTCATAATGTCTCCTTCACACATTCCTGAGCCCGGGGCGGTTAATTAGCTTTGAACTTTGAGCTTGTGGTCAGTAACCATCAAATTTGAATCTTTACATCAAAGTTAAATTGCCACTCTGTGCTCAGGAATGTATGCATGGGGCTTTAGGAATGTAGAGTAAAACAAGTGCTTTTTGACGAGTCAAATTCATACCCTACCTGTTTTGGTACTGTAGACATTCTTATGATATACGATTTCTTTGTAATACGGTACAAGTTCATTGCTTGGGCTTCCAGCAACTAAAAAGGTTAAACTATACATCTTTAAATATAAAGACATTTCTCAAGTATGTTTTTTAGAAATCAGTTTTATAAGTCACAAGAAAAGGTTTCGATTCATTTGGATGTTTGATTCACGTTATGAAGGTTGAATTTGTGTGACACATGTGTCTAAATGGTGATGAAAGAAGAGATAACTAGCTAAAAACTAGTGTGAGCTGCATCAGTGTTTCTAATGAAACAGTAATGATAAAAGGGTAAATCATACACTGCGAAAAGATGAAAATACTGACGTTTCGGATGCTAATCCTTCGTCAGAGTAAAGGACTAGCGAGGGGACGAAGGACTAGCATCCGAAACGTCAGTAAGTTTTTTCATCTTTTCCTTTTATCATTACTGCAGGAGCAGGCTTAGCTCAGTTGGTTAGTGCGCGACCTTCAGAGCTTGAGACCCACGGTTCGATCCTTAGGATCTCCACGTCTGTTTCGACTTCTCTCTAATCCATGTAGCTTCATCACTGATGGAGAGAGGGGTCAAAGTGGACCCCATCGGCTTCCATTGATAGCAGTTGAATTTCAACTGAAGTAACTACCGACGTTAAATATAGGTACTTTACCTTTACCTTTACCTTTACTGTTTGGCGATAAAAGAGTTACATGTACCTCATTTCATTTATCTCGTTTGGTACTTTTTTAGTACCAGCAAGGATGGTGGGTACAGTTCGCGACCCTTTTTTATTTGAATGAAACTGTGTCAGTTATTTAGAGTACCCAAGGGGCTATCTAAAAACGTGAAAAAATTTGGGGGTCCCCACGCATCCAAGCGATATAATTGTCATTAAAGACCCGATGACGTGAGCGCATTTTGAAGCACTTCAAAAAATCACATATCCCTTGTGTT